CGTCAAACCTGTATATTGTCACCCTGCTTATTTAACTTATATGCAGAGTACATCATGAGAAACCCTGGGCTGGAAGAAGCACAAGCTGGAATCAAGATTGTCGAGAGAAATCAATAACCTCAGATATGCAGATGACACCCACCCTTATGGCAGAAAGTGAAGAGGGACTAAAAAGCCTCTTGATGAAAGTGAAAGAGGAGAGTGAAAAAGTTGGCTTAAAGCTCAACATTCAGAAAATTAAGATCATGGCATCTGGTCCCATCACCTCATGGGGAATAGATGGGGAGACAGTGGAAACAGTGTCAGACTTTATTTTGCGGGGCCCCAAAATCACTGCAGATGGTAACTGCAGCCATGAAATTAAAAGACGCTTACTTCTTGGAAGGAAAGTTATGACCAGCTTAGATAGCGTATTGAAAAGCAGAGACATTACTTTGCCAACAAAGGTCCATCTAGTCAAGGCTATGGTTTTTCCAGTAGTCATGTACGGATGTGAGAGTTGGACAGTGAAGAAAACTGAGTGCTGAAGAATTGATGTTTTTAAACTGTGGTGTTGGAGAAGACTCTTGAGAGCCCATTGGACTGCAAGGAGATCCAACCAGTCCATTCTAAAGGTGATCAGTCCTGGGTGTTTATTGGAAGGACTGATGTTGAAGCTGAAACTCCAGTACTTTGGCCACCTCATGCAAAGAGTTGAGTCACTGGAAAAGATCCTGATGCTGGGAAGGATTGGGGGCAGGAGGAAGAGGAGATGACAGAGGATGAGATGGCCTGATGGCATCACCGACTCAGTGGACATGGTTTTGAGTAAACTCCGGGATTTGGTGATGGACAGGGAGGCCTGGCATGCTGCGATTCATGGGGTCGCAAAGAGTCGGACATGACTGAGTGGCTGAACTGAACTGAACAGATATGGTAGGAGTAGTGGGTTGAACTGTAGCCTCCCAGAAGATATGCCCAAATATAACCTGTGAACATGAACTCATTTGGAAAAAAAGTTCTTTACCGATTAAATATAATTAAGTAAAGAATCTCAAGATGAAATTGTTCTGGGGACTTTCCTGTTGGTCCAGTGGCTGACTCTGAGCTCTCAATGCAGGAGGTCTAGGTTCAATAACTGATCGGGGAACTAGATCTCACATGCTGCAACTTAAAGATCCCACATGCTACAAGTGAAGATCGAAAATCCTGGGTCCTGCAACTATGACCCAGATCAGTCAAATAAATAAATAAATAATAACATATTTTTTAAAAAAGAAATCATCCTGCATTAGAGTGAGCCTTAAATCTGGGGTGATGGGTGTCTTTATAAGAGAAGAAAAGGCCATTTGAAGACTGAGGCTGCAGGTATGCTGCCACAAGCCAAGAAAGACTGAGAAGTACCCACGAAGCTGGAAGATGCAAGAACGATTTGTCCCTGGAGCCTTTGGAGCGAGCTTGACCCTGCAGACACATTGACTTCAGACTTCTGGCCTTTAGAACTGAGAGATTAAATTTATGTTTAGTCACTAGGGGCCTTCCTTGGTGGCTCCGTCAGTAAAGAATCTGCCTGCAACGCAGGAGACCCAGGTTCAATTCCTAGGTTGGTAAGATCCGCTGGCAACGGAAATGGCACCCCACTCCAGTATTCTTGCCTGGAGAATCCCATGGACCGAGGAACTTGGTGGGCTACAGTCCATGCGGTGGCAAGAGTTGGACATGACTTAGTGACTAAACCACCATCAAAGTCACTAAGTTTGTGGTAATTTGTTATGGCAGCCCTAAGACAGTGAAAGGAAAAAGGAAAGGGAAATGAAGTCGCTCAGTCGTGTGAGCCTCTTTGCGACCCCATGGACTGTAGCATACTGTGAAGGGAACCCTTCCTGTAGCATGGGAGGGAGTACCCTTCCTAGGTTTAAATGATAGCGCCTTAGGCTGTGCAAGGAAAGGAGAGAAGTGAGAAATCTGAAAGAAAGCATGGCGACTGCTTCCTATGTCTTGTCTCCCCTCTCCCTCCCCCATCACTGCAGAAGCGAGCCTATCTTGGTTCTCCTGTTTTAGGCAAGAAAATGATGATCTTTTATTTCTTTCATTGAAGCCCCCTTCAATGTCTGCACAGAGCTTTGTTGTTACTAAATGACTTCAAACTCATCATCACATTTGACCCTAAAAAGAATGCATTTTACTGATGAGAAAGCTGAAGCACAGAAGACTAAATGAATTGTTCAAATTTATGTGCTGGAGTCAAAAGCCTTCAAATTCTACGTTATTGCTGAGGCAGGAGATAGATGAGCCCCAGGTTGAGCAGTTTCTCCCTTTATGGATAGAAACTCTGTAATAGCAGAAATTCCATAAAAACAGAACGATGGAGGAAGCTGGGCCCTGTCCAGATAAAACATGGAAGACCACGTACTCCTTATTCTCCAAGTTGAAGAGACCTCCCAGATCACACATGCGCAGAAAGGCTGTTTGGTGGTCAAAAAGGGAGGGGGCGTCACCTCATAGTAAGTGATAATCAACTACCCAGGAGCCTCTTCACCAGACTCCATAATTTGCTAAGAAATGAGCCTGCACACATGGTAGAGTCCTGAGATATACCAAATACAGACTCAGGACCAGGCAAATCTAAATGATTGGCCAGAGGAAACCGGGAAGAAACGCCCCATAAAAGTAATTAAAACTGCCAGGAGGGTGCAACTCAGTGACTCTCTGAGCCTGCCTGTGTGTTCATCCACATTACTCTTTTCCTCCCAACAAACACTTTACTTGTTTCACCACTTGCCTTCTTTGTGGGAATTATTTTCTGCAAAGCTGAGAAGCCAGGGTCTTGTCACTGAGGACGGCCTCCATCTCTGGCAGGGAACCAAAGCCCCTTTTCAAGCTGCTGCAGGCAGAGGTCACTCGAGATCATAGCCATTTTACCATTCTGTTGTTGGACAATACTTCTTCCGTGAAAAAACAAACAAAAGCCCCCAAAAACAAAAGAAGCAAACCCAGTTCATGAAATTTGGTCATGAGCAACAGAAATCATTGGAGATTGTGGGCGCTCAGCTTTTGGGTCTCAATGGGTAGACAAAGTCCATCCTTAAACAAAGCTGCCTGCACTGGGCCTTGTTGGGTAAACCTCAGTCTAATCGCTCAGGGTCCTTTAGGACCTGAGGAAATAAAAGGAGCGTTTAAGAGTTTTGCCTGAATGTATAGTGTTGAGTCAAAATAATCTTTGAGGATTTGGATTAAATAGGTGTTTGTTTCCAGCAAGGACTTCGTAAGGATTTGGGCAACTGTGTTTTTCTTGTTTTCATAAAATGGCAGACCAAACAGAGGTTTAATATTGAGAAGCCAAGCGCCTGGAATTTCTTTATTCATAACTTGAATTTTAGGACCGAGTCACATTTCTTTGCCCCTTCTTAGTGGGGGGGAGGGGAGGGTGGTGGTGTGGGTAGGTCGGGGGGTTGTGATACCCTCCTGGAGAGAGGTGTAAAGGCTGGATATTTACATTCTTTACCGGGGATTCTCCTTCCTTCCGCTTCTAGTTTCCGCTACACCTTAGGCCCCGGCAGCCTCCATGGCAGTATTTTCGATCAACCCTCTGAATTCAGTTTTTCCTGCCCTCCCCGTTTTTCCAGCTTGAAATAACACCCGAAAGAGGCTGCTGTGAGATTTTTGGTCTCATTCCGTGACGATCTGGAAATCCTGGGGAGCCTGATCTCAACATCCCTTCTCCCGCTTATTCTTAAAAACAGATCAGGTTTCTAAGAGGCGTGAACCGCAGGGAAGTCAATACCCCTCCAAGGTTGTTCGAAGGAGGGCCAGCCGGACGGCGGTGCGGGGACTGAATTCCCTGGCAGCGCGTCCGCGGGGTGAAGCCAGCGCGGGCCCGGCCGTTCTTCCGTGGTTTCTGTGCCTTGAGTGTGGGGTGAAAGGAGAGGGGAGCTGTGGTCGGAATTTTGCCCCAGGAAGAGAGCGACCCTGGGCGGAAGGATTTCTGTGCCAGGGACGTGGCGGCTGAGCCAGGTGAGCGGTCGGAAAAAGCTTTCCCCTCCCGGGATGAGCTAGGTCTCTCCCCAGCCGCTCAGCAGAGGAGGGAGGGAATGGGGGGCGGGGGGAGAAGGAGGTGTGGGAGACCTGGAAGCGGAGGAACCGAGGCGTTTCTCTCTCCCCCGCCGAAAGCCCGGCCGAGAGGTCGTTTTATACCCAAACAGGACCTTCTCAAGCGTCCCGGACCCATCGGTAGTCCATTCTGGGCATGAGAAAAGGCTAACGTTTTGCAGATGAAAATTCTGCTCCCAAAGGGATCTCCGCTGAGAGTGCTGGGAGGCGGGGCTCAGCGAAGGCGGGAGGCCGCCCCGGGAGGTTGCGGCGCTTTCCGCGTGGATCCCGCCTGGAGGCTCCCCGTTGGGTGGCGGAGGAGGTGGGGCCAGGGCAGGGCGCAGAAATTGGGACTCCCGGCGTCCGGGGGCAGCCTGCGGGCGGTGCAGTCCTCGGCTGGGCGCCAGGTCCGCGGCGGTGCGGTGCGGTGCGCCTCGGGATCCTCGCCCGGGAGGGCCTCCGTGAGTCACCGCTTGAGTTGTCGCAATCGCCACCCAGCGGAAATCGGACCCGGGGTGGAGCCCGTTCCCCGCCGCGCTCGCGTGTCTCCGCGCTCGCTCCCAGGTCTGCGCTCCAGGCGACGGCTTCGGCGGGGGGCCTGGGCCTCTGGCGCAGAGAGAGTTAATCGGCCGCGGCGAGGAGGAGCCCTAAGAGGAAGGAAGGAAATTGCTGTCCTTCTGAAAGTTTTTTTTTTTCCCCTTCCTCTCTTCTCCCCCCCCTCCCCCTCCCCTCTCCCCCCTCCCCCCCCTCCCCCTCCCCCCTCCCCCCCCCCCCCCCCCCCGCAGAGGTGAGTGCCTGGAGGCGGCGGCGTTGACCCCTGGGAGCCGGGCTCCGAGCTGCTGCTCCTGGAGTTGCCTTCGGACTACCTGGAGACGGGGACGGTCATCGCGCTCGGACCTCCTCCGTGGAGCCCAGTCGGGGTGCGCCGAGCCATGGATGGCGCGGAGCTGGCCGGGCAGATCCTTTACACCTGGCTGACTCTGGTGCTCGGCCTCATACTCCTGCCTTCGGCCTTTGGGGTGTCTTTGGGCATCTCTGAGATCTACATGAAGATCCTGGTGAAAACTTTAGAGGTGAGTCCGTGGAGGGATGCTGCGCCCCCTCCTCGGAGGGCTTTGGGGTGGGGGGAACCCGGGGCCATGGAGAACGAGGTTAGAACTGAGAGCCGAGGAGACGCCAGGAGACCAGGAGGAAGGTCAGTGGTCTGGAGGGAGGTGCGTTTTAGTTTATCCTCGGCCGTATCTGGGCGTCTCCCGCAGAGCTGGAGGGCTCCTGAGACCACTGGACCACCTTGTTGCTGTGGTTGGAGGTAGAACGACCCCACCCCCTGTTATTATGATGATGATTTTTACTCATCTCAATAACAACGCGACCGCCTTTTCTATCACCGGTATTTCTTTCTGTTCTTTAAGCGAGCAGCCGCCACCTCATTCTCCTGAGTTTTTACAACCTCAGGTTTTAGAGGTCCTTCTGTGGACTAAGGTTTCCCGTCCCGAAAGGCATCAAGTTTATGCCCAAGATAAGAAACGTATCGCTGGATGGTAGAAAGAAATCTGATTATATTTTAGGAGTCATGGAAATTTAATCTACCCAATGGCACTTGACATGTCATTGAAAATCCATGTTTTCTTTGACTTCAGCTCTCCCTACCCTCCTGTTTCTTAAATTTTGCCAAGAAAGGTGTTAGATGGGAGTGGCCCTGATGGAACAACTATTACTTGCCCTTCATATAGGGTTTTATTAAGTCACAGAGGGTTCCCTGTGGACTCTCATCAGATGTAGGGAGAGCAAATGTTATCCCCCCTTTACAGGTAAGGACACTGAAACTCTGAGAAGTTCAGTGATTTGCTTGAATCAAGCAGTGGAGACAGGAATCTAACTGAAGAGAGGGCCTATAGCGTAAAGGTTAATGGTGCAGACTCTGGGTACAGATTTGCTTTGACTTGGTACCAAAATCCCAGTTCTGCTTCTCAGCAGGGAACTCACCTACTTATGCTTCATGTTCCTTATCTATAAAATAGTAGTAACAATAAGAACTACTTCCATTGGGTTGTTAAGTGAGTTAAAATATGTCAAGCACTTCGGATTGGTACATGTTTGCTGCTATTAAAAGAATAATATTGGGACTTGCCTGGTGGTCCAGTGGTTAAGACTACGCGCTTCCGCTGTAGGAGACAAGGGTTCTATCCCTGAGGATCTTACATGGCTTGTTTCTTTAGCTGCTGCAAAAGCTTCTAATGTGCCTACATGCCTGCTCAGTGGGGTCCAACTCTTTGTGACCCCATTGACTGTAGCCCGCCAGGCTCCTCTGTCCGTGTGGTTTCCCAGGCAAGAATACTGAGTGGGTTGCCATTTCCTCCTCCAGGGGATCTTCCTGACCCAGGGATCAAACCCGAGTCTTCTGTATCTCGGGTGGATTCTTTACAGTACCTCACACGGATTCTCATTTTTCTGCCCTTAATCTCTATTTGTGCAGGGCTTGGCTTTATTTGCTCTTCTCCCTCAGCCAGGAGAGTGGCTTTCAGATGCACATCTCTAATCTTTTATCTCCTACCTGGAGATTACCTGTCACCCACCAGCTAATCTGCAAATCTCTTCTACATACTCATCTGTTTTATCTCACATTTTTGTTGCACTCTGTGGTTGATTTCCTGTCTAGTCTTTAAAAGTTATATTTGACTGTTCATCAGCCCTCACATTTTAAAAGTTCTGTTGTTTCTACTTGGGAGATATTTCCATCTCGAACCTTCCTTGCTGACGTCACACTTTGGACATGGTCACAGTCTACTGTGAATTTCCTAGCTGCCTCCTGCCTTAGATCTTCTTCAGAATGCTCTGCCTGTAGCAGATGATTACCTTCAGCTGGTGTTCACTCTTAGAACTCTGAAATGACCAAACTGTTCTCCCATACAGTAATATCTTTTGGAATTGATGCTGCAAGTGAGAACAGAGTAAATCTCACACTCTATCTTCTGGGCGCTGACTCTTGATTGCTTGCGTAAGTCAGGTACAGCTAAAGAGATGTCAAGGAGACTGGCCTTCTAGTCCCTGTAGCTTGCCTCCTCAGTAGTATCTGACCTTTGTGACCTCATAGACTGTAGCCTGCCAGAGTCCTCTGTCCATGGGATTTTTCAAGCAAGAATACTGGAGTGGGTCGCTATTTCCTCCTCCAGGGGATCTTCCCAACTCAGGGATTGAACACGATTCTTGGATTCTTTATACCACTAGTCACCGGGAAAGCCCTCTCTAGTTGCTGTTGGCCTGGCAAATAACTTCTACACTTTGAAGAGATATCTCCAGCCCAGGATCTGACTTGCAGTGTGGCAGGGCCTCAAGTTTTAATTTTTGTCCTTCTAGCTTTGAAAAGGTTTTTAAAGATGTACTCCTTATTAGTAAACTCTCAAGAATGCCAGTTTTCTTTTTCTGTATTTGTGCCGGGTCTTTCTTGCGGCTGCTGGATCTTCATTGCAGTAGGCGGGCTCTTCTTCAGTTGCAGCGTAGTTTTCTCTTATTGTGGAGTATGGACCCTCATGGGCGCCTGTTCGGTAGTTATGATGCACAGGCTTAGAATTAATTAAATTCTCCATTAATTTAGAGTTAATTAAATTCTTAGTTCCCCGACCAGGGATCAAACCTGAGGCCCCTGCACTGGATGGTGAATTTGAACCACTGGACCACCAGGGGAGTCCCACCAGATTTCTAATTTTTAGTGGAAGATATACCAGTTAGCTTGGAAACCAGGTAGATGGCAGCATAAAGAACCATCCTCTTTGCTAAGACCAAAGTTTATTAGGTCAGCCAGATGTTTGGCATATATGTAGTTAGAATGGGGATTCATTTTGTGAGCCATCTCTGATTTGGTGGTAGCTGCCTGGAGTTCCTGTGTTTGGGTTCAGCTGGGCGCCTCAGGGAAGAGCTATGATCCAGTAGCGAGGTTTGCTTTGGGCACAGGAGAGGGAGATGGTAACCTGGGGCTTTGTATCCTCCGACCAGAACAGCATTGTTGGAAGTTAACAGTCGCTCAGTCGTGTCTAGCTCTTTGTGATCCCAGGGACTGTAGCCCTCCAAGTTTCTCTATCCGTGGAAATCCCCGGGCAAGAACACTGGAGTGGGTAGCCATTCCCTTCTCCAGGGGATCTTCCTGACCCAGGTTTTGAACCCTGGTCTCCTGCAGTAAAGCTAGATCCTTTATTGCCTGAGCCATCAGGGCAGCCCAGGACTGTGTTTGGTGTTTGAAAGACATTTGTTAGGAAGAGGTTGGTAGAGTGGATTGTCTTTCTGCCAACTATGGGAATAATTCCCTTAAAGATTGTGCTGCTTGTTTAATATTAAAACATTTTTGTATTTGGACAAATACCCTACTCTTTGTTAAAGTCCGTTCAAGGTCCAGACCTTCTGTTACTCATTATTCCGTAGTATATTCTCAACTGACTTGGTGGTTTCTTTCTTTTACTTTCCAGTCCCAAGAATATATGGCTTCCCAGGTGGCCCTGTGGTAAAGAATCTGTCTGCCAATGCAGAAGACTTGAGAAGCTTGGGTTCGATTCCTTGATTAGGAAGGTCCTCTGGAGTAGAAAATGGCAACCCACTCCAGTATTCTTGCCTGGAAAATTCCATGGAGAGAGGAGCCTGGCTGGCTATATATGTAGTTCTTGGGGTCCCAAAGAGTTGAACATAGCGATTGAGCACACACGCAGCCCCAAGAATATTTTTTGCACTCTTAAAAATATATATATTTATTTAATTTAATTAATTAAAAAAAATATTTATTTGGCTGCGAGGGGTCTTAGCTGTGGCATGTGAGATCTTTGGTTTTTGTTGCAGCATGTGGGATCTTTTATTAATAGTTGCGGCATGTGAACTCTTAGTTGCTGCATGTGGGATGTAGTTCCCCAACCAGAGATTGAGCTTAGGCCCCCTGCATTGGGAGCAAGCAGTCTTAGCCACTGGACCACCAGGGAAATCCCTCTTTGGACTGTTTAATTAGAACTGGATATTTCTCAGGTTTCCTTGGTTACAGTTTACATACCATTTTAAAAGGTTGTTTAGTTTTATACATTATATGTTTACTTTGATAAGTTTTCTTGACAATGGGTAGCTTTTTTGTGACCATAAACTCAAATTCTGGAAGTTGCAGAGTGAGGGGGTGATCTTCAGAATAGTTGACTATGAAAACAACTAATTGTCAAATAACTCAGCCAGCTGAGGACTCCTCTTAGTGCTCCAGTTCAGGTAATAATTATTTATTAAGTACCTGTTGAATGCTGCCTTCTGCATTGCTGAGCATCTTTATATGTATTCATAAGTCCTTGATATGGCAAGCTACTTGAAAAACAGGGCTTGAATTCTTTTTTTTTTTTTTTTTTTTAGGGCTTGAATTCTTAGAGTAAGTGAGTGATTCTCTAAACCAGTGATTTTCTTCACTTCTGTTTCTTTTTTTGTAGTGTTTATTTTTATTTATTTATATATTTGGCTGTGTCAGGTCTTAACTGTGGTATGCAAGCTCCCAGGTCCCCTCTATTGGGAGTGCAGAGTCAGCCATTGGCCAACCAGAGAACTCCCTCTAAACCAGTGATTTTTCTAGGGCTATATAGTAATTTTTAGGAAGTAGATGTGTCAATATTATGACTTTATATTGGAGAAAGTTGTTTTAGGAGTGCGAACTATGAAAAGTAAAACTTCTGGCTGAGGGAATGCATAGTCTGTCTGCCTGGTAGGGTGTGTTAATATATATTTAGATCTCTGGAAGAGAGTATGAGTTTTTTATGTTTATCAAACAGGAGCATGGATTAAAGATTGAATTATGCTGTTCTCAACCAGGAAGGGTTAATGATGCTTGTTATTCATTGGCCTAAGGACTGTTATTTGTTGGCCTGAAGTTCACAATTAGAGGGAAATAAATAATAGAAAGAGAATGTAGGATTAATGGAGAAAAAGATACAGGGGAATGATACATAAATTACCAAATCTAACCAGATATTGCAAGCAATAGATAGATAAAAATAAATGTTAATGGACTTAATTTTCCACTCAACTTTTGAAGCATAGGTTGGACACATGAACAGCTGCCTCCAAATTTCTGGCGTTGTAACCTTGGGCAGGTCATTCAACATCTCCACCTTACTTTCTCCCTTTGTATTTAGGAATATAGCTCACAGAGTTATTGTGCAGATTGAATGAGGAGAAGTGAATGAAAGCACTTAATGTACATTAGGTGATCAAATTTTAGTGGAGTTTGGATCGGAACACTCATTGGTTGTATGTGTGTGTGTTTGCTCCTATGTAGCCAAGAATTAATCTACCTTCAGATCTGATGGGTCAGCACACACATATTCAGAGCAGACTACTCCTGCCTTGTATTTTAGTTACTATTTTTTCCCTTACCGTCTCCTCCATCCACTGGTTATTTTTCTGTCTTTTAAAATAGGCAGGTCGATAATTTTCAGATGGTTAACACTTCTGTTATTATAACACTCAGATATTATCCTTTGGTGTTAGAAATACAGTAAATCTTCTAGAAGGCCATGACTGTTTATGACAGAGTGCGCTTAGTCGCTCAGTTGTGTCTGACTCTTTGTGACCCCACGGACTGTAGCTCACCAGGCTCCTCTGTCCATAGGGTTTTTCCAAGCAAGAATAGTGGAGTGGGTTGCCATGCCCTCCTCCAGGGGATCTTTCCTACCCAGGGATCCAATCGAGGCTCCTGTGTCTCCTGCATTGCAGGCGGATTCTTTACCCGCTGAGCCATTGAGTCATAGTAAAAGAAAACTACTAAAGCAATGTGCTTCTTAGTTAACTTAATTCCACAGCACCTCTCTGGGATAGGGTGTGTTATTCCCACTGATAGACTGAGGAAAGAAGGTTCAGAGAGGTGAGTTGACTAGACAGTGGCATACAGCTGTCAGTGGTAGAATCAGCATTTAACTTGAATCTAGACCCTAAGTTCTTACACTGCCAAGAGACCAGTTTATTTTGCTACAATTGTTGGTCAGCCATTGAGTAGGCCTAACCTTTTGAGGCTTTGTACAATTTTGTACATTTTTCCTTTTTCCTTTCCCTCTCCTTAGTCAATTACGTGTCTTTTGAGCATGGAAACTGAAAGTTGAATTGCCTGGCTGACAGTGCCATGTTTTTGCAAACTTTTGGCCCACGCTTGAAAAATTAGGCTTGCCCATTTCTTTACTGTGAGTTGTGGATAGCTACTTATTTTCTTTCAAGAGGATTTTGAAATTAAGTGAAATGACAACCTGATGGAAAGTTGTCAGGACTTTCCTGGTGGTCCAGTGGCTAAGACTGCTTGCTCCCAATGCAGGGGGCCCAGGTTTGACCCCTGGTCAGGGAGCTAGATTCCATGTGCCGCAACGAAGACCAGACACAGCTAAATAAATAAATAATCATTAAAGGCAAAGACAAAAAACGTGCTTGTCTTGAACACAGTAACTGTGTTTTGGAGGACAGACTTTGGAGCTAGCATTTCAGGGGAGGGTCTTTGTTCTAAACCTCGTGTGATGACAGAACATGGAGTTCTTTGGAGCACATTATGCTGCTGGATCAGTGTACCCATATTAGTTTGTTGCCATAATAGAGTCCCATAAACTCGGTAGCTTAAACCATGGAAATTTATTCCCTCACAGTTCTGGAAGCTGGAAGTCCAAGATCAAGGTGTCAGGAGATTTGATTTCTTCTGAGGCCTCTCTCCTTGGCTTGTAGATGGTGCCATCTTGTAGGTAGTGACCTGGATGGTCTGTCTTGTGTATACGTGTCCCTAGCTCTCCCTGTTCTTATAAGGATACCAGTCATACTGGATTAGGGCTTCACGGGGCTTCTTTTTAACTTAGTCACCTCTTTAAAAACTCAGTTTTCAAATACAGCCACATTCTGAGGTACTGGGGGTTAGGGCTTTCACACATGAATTTTTGGGGGGAGGATAGGGGTATAGTTCAGCTCATAACAGCCGTTCGATACCGATATTTTCCATCCTGTCAGCATGAACTGATTGTCCTAGTCTAAGGTAATTCCCACTTATATAATACTCCAAAGCGCATGCTCATGTTAAAAAAAGAAAGGGCTCCAAGATGAGGATGAATGTTTATTTACAAAATTTTATCTTAATCATATCTTTAGTCTACTTATAACCAATAATAGGTACCAAGACTGTAAAGTGAAAAATTCTCCCCCAGTGGCTCAGCAGTTAAGAATCCGCCTGTTGTGCAGGAGACGTTGGAGACGTGGGTTCGATCTCTGGGTTGGGAAGAACCCTGGAGGAGGGCATGGCAACCTACTCTAGGATTCTTATCTGGGAAGTCCCATGGACAGAGGAGCTTGATGGGCTGCAGTCTATGAGGTCACAAAGCATTGGGCATGACTGAGCCCGTGCGTGCACACATACATGAAAATAAACCTTCATCTCTCCTGAGACAAGATGGGAGGCATAAAAGTCCGGGATTTGAGAATTCCTGCCTGGGATCAGCAAGGAGGAGAAAAGGATGCAACCAAATTAAGACTCTGAGCCTGTTATCATTTGTGACTTGCCACTTGAAGCCGGGAAGATTAGGCATCTATTTATAGGCTGTTTTCTAAGCACAAATGGCATGTCCCTACTTTGCTGTTTGGGCAGTGGCGCAGCGGTCCTGATACAGTCAGGTTATGTCCTGCTTCTTGACCTTCATGTGCATGTTTTAGGTTGTTTATTCTCTAGCACTTATTTTCTTATGTATTAAAAAAAATTAACAACAAAAAAAACCCTTTTATCTTTCTGCTTAACACCTTCAAGCCCTGCAATAACTGAAGTGTGTTCTTTTGTTTGTTTGTATCTTGGAAGGGGCTTGTGCTTGGTCTTTGTTGAATGCACAGGCTTCTCTTGTTGACTGTGGGCCCAGTAATTGCAGCGCTCGCGCTCTCTAGTTATGGCACGCAGGCAGAGTTACCCTGCAGCATGTGGGATCTTAGTTCCCCAACCAGGGGTTGAGTCTCCTGCACTGGAAGGCGAACTCTTAACCACCGGACGACCAGGAAAGTCCCAATAACTGAGGTTTTTGCCTTGACATGCTTAATAAATCCTGTCTTTTTGCCCCTTCAAAGGTACTGAACTCTTAATTATAATTGTTACAGTGACCTTCTTGTTTTGCTCTTCTCCTACCTCCCCGAGTAAGTTTAGGCACTGCTAGCTTCTAGAATTGTAATCATCTAGATGATATTTTAATCCTTTCTCAACCGAAGATGGTAGCCATTGGGTTTTCTGGAGTGCTGTCAAAAGAGTTCACTTGCCGCTCTTGAACTGTGATGTTAATGGTAGATGATTTGGGCAATGTATAAAAAAAGTATAAAGAAGAAAAAAGCAAATCACACCTTGCAATTATTTCTGGGAGTTAATTTTTTCTGTTCTTAAATTCTCTCAAAACTGCGGTTTCTCTTAATCATAACATTTTCTTTATTTTAGTAGATAAGTGACCTCATGGGCAGGTTTTTTTTTTAACTTTGTTGGTTTTAAAAATTTTTGTTCATGTGTAGTTGCTTTACAATGTTGTGTTAGTTTCAAATGTATAGCATAGTGAGTCAGTTATACATATATATATATCTTTTTTTCCCCACTTTTTTTAGATTCTTTTCCCAAATAGGCCATTTACAGAGTTCTGAGTAGAGTTCCCTGTGCTATACAGTAGGTCCTTGTTAGTTACTTACTTTATGTAGTGTGTATATTTCAACACCAGTCTCTTTAGTGATTTCATGGATTCCTTTCCAGCTTTCCAAGTCTCACAACAGTCCTTCTGCAAGCTTCTGTCTAATATAGGCAGTTAGGCATCTTAGAGAATGTCTCATCCTTGAATGCCTAATTTGTTATGAAAATAATATTCTTTGTGTCCTGTGTTTATGTCTTTACATGTATTAACCTCATTTAATCCTCATGGCAACCTTATGGGATAGGAACTATTATCCTCATTTTACTGATGAGGAAATTGAGGCTGAGAGGGATTAAGTAATTTTACACCCAGACAGAGTTGATGCTATAGTCTGTGCTCTTGTCCTCCATACTTTCTGACCTTTTCAAGGAGTAATTTATTGGATACCAGGTGTGTGTGAGAGTTTTAAAAAAGGTAAACATGATCTTTTCCTCATTTTTATTTGGGAATTATCGGTAACTAATATAAGAGTATACATGGGACTTGGAATACTATTATATCAGAGATTCAGTGGGGTATCTCTTCAATTCAGATAGCATGAGGGCTTAATGGTTAATTTCATGTTATTTAAGCATGGTTTAAATATGTTGCATCCTGTCTGTGGCACATTTTACATTAATAACTTCTTGTTTTTTGAACAGTGGGCCACATTACGAATTGAAACAGGAGTTGCAAAGCAATCAATCCTTAAAAACTCAGCTTCTGTCGGTAAGTCTCCCTTTTCATTATGATGGTTAAAATATCCAAATTGGGTAGATATGTGCCTACCCAACTTGAACTTGAAATATACCCAAAATAGTGCATTTTATGGGCCTTGGATTGTTCATAATTCTGTCCTTTATGCAAAATAGCAGCCTTCTGAGTTCTGGATGACTTTTCACTGTAAAGGTAGTCATACCATGCTGGTTATCTATGTGTTCTTACAGGGTATTTCTAAAGGTATGCATTTAAAAGTGATTGCCCATGGTATTTAAATGGTCTTAAGAAAAAAAAGTGGGGCTAATTGAACCACCTGGGGTTAAGTTAAACCTATTTTTGAGATTTCATTAGCACCTTATTCTAACTTTGGTTCTCAAAGTATGTTCCTTAAAATATTATTTCCTGCTGAAAACTAATTAGTAATTCATGAAAAAAAAAAAAACTCCTTTGTGATATAAGCTTGGGAGTCACCACGTGCTACAGATTCCTTTGGAGACTAATAATGTCTAGTAATAAAGGCTCAGAAAATTCGGTGGTAGACACTCCCTTAGTTTTTGTTAGAAGTGAGTTTCTGCTTCTGTTTGTGTGTTTTTTCTTTGTCCCCAAAACTCTTTTCATTTGAGTTAAGAATTTTAAGAATTTTTTAAGACACAGGGTTCCTAGGGGAGTAGAATTCTGTGGGAGTGATGGCAATGAAATTAGGAAGAAATAAACCCTGGATTTAATTAAAAGAATTAGGCTGTGTGTGTTTTCCAAAAATAAATGTATAGAAACAATAGTGTGCCCACCTAATTTAGGGTTCAGCATGGTCAAAATGTCAAACACTTTACTAGATGGATTTTGTTTTCTGAAAGCTTGTCTAAGAGGAATTGTAGAAATATAGTACATTTTGGAAACAAAGATTTTGAATGAACATATCTGTGCACTTTTGTACAATTAGATCGCTATGTTCTACTGATTGAAGCAACTAGTGAGTGTTGTGTTGTCTATGTAAACACCAGAGGATTAGCACCGATAACATTTTTACCAAGGTTGGGTATTTCTGGCTATACTTCATCCTCTTTTTATTGCTGGATGCCCTCTCTGATAGTGACTAAACAGCACAGCTTTCTCTGAGCTGTAGCAGATCTACTAACTTTTTTTTCTGGGTTCTCTTTTAATGTGTGTCCTGTGATTTAAGGAGAGAAGAAACTTTATTACTGATTTTTTGTTGCACTCCGTGAGACTTTGGGCTGTTGTTGACCTTGGATGAAGTTCTCTGGGACCCTGTAGATTGGGGTGGTGGCAGCCCGTATCTTGGGCCATGAATTTAAAAGAGCACAAAGTATTTCAACTTGGTAGTTAAGAGGATTAAAGTCACTAGGTAAGGGTGTTTGCAGCATTGTTTTAGTTTTGTAAAATTTATTTATTTTTGGCTGTGTCAGGCCTTGGTTGTGGCACTTAGGCCTCTCTAGTTGAGGCATGCAGGCTTAGCTGCCCCAAGGCATGTGAGGTCTTAGTTCCTGGGCCAGGGTGTCCAACCCGAGTCCCCTGCATTGGAAGGCAGATTCTCAACCCCTAGGCCACCAGGGAAGTCTCTGTTTTAGTTTTTTCAGCCTAATGGAAATGACTATTTCCACTTGGATTTATTTATTTATTTTTGTCATGCTCTTGTCTTTTCTGTCTTTGGTCTTTGCCTGTTCCTTGGTACCTCCAGGAGACAGTGGAAGTGAGCAGAAGGGGAAAATACACATCACAATGGTTGAGAGTCATGTGTTGACTCTTTTGATGTCATCAAACACTTTTGACGTCTACAAAATTTATCCTGTTTCCTTCAGAGTGGCTGCTCTTCCTTTTCAGCCTGTGCAGTTGGCAATTGACTATTGCAGGGACCGAGCATTTGTTGCCAGTGAGGTTGACACGGGATCCACGGGTGATTAAGACACGGTTCCTGTGGGGAGACGGGCATCCATGGCGATAAATGCTAAAATCGCTGCATAAGCGGAGGATGATGTGAGATCTCATGCAGGCTCTGCCGCGTGCTGCTAATCCCGTCTCTGTTAATCCCACGGCTGTCCTTGGTGTGCCCCTCTCCTCCTGGCTTATGGCCTGCTTGGGTCGCCCGGTGGCAGGGTGTGTCCCCTGTTGGATGCGTTCTGGTGCTTGGAGTCAGCTGGGAGGTAATGTCTCAGTCCTACACAGAGGCAGCGGGTGATGAAACCTTCAGTGCTTGTGTGTCTGGCCGCTGCAATCTCCTGCCTTCGGAGCGTCCCGCCTCTGTCCCGCGGCCAACTGGGGCACAAGTCAGGGTTGAGCTGGGCAGAGTTTAGGCGAGGGTCACTGGCAGGCCACGGGCCGGGGGTGCAAGTATGATTTTGAGACGTAGTGCTGATGAAAGGTTTGGGGAACCGAGAGGAGGAGATGAGCTAAACAGGGACGAGACTTATGTTTATTTTCTGCATCCAAAAATTCTCTCTGCTGCTCTTACTTGGTGAAGTGCATTTTTGGAAACACTTTTCACATCTCCCTCTCCAGTTAAACCCCTCTTGTACTGTATTGGGTTGGCCAAAAAAAGTTCTTCTGGGTTTTCTGTACCGACTTATGGAAAAACACAAATGAACTTTTTGGCCACCCCAGTATTTTTTCTTAGCTTTTATTGAATAAGCTGATTGAAAGCTGAACTTTGGGAAGTGTTATCTTTGTGCTTAAATACTTCATTGCCGTCCTTGATTGGACTCTACCGTGACTTTTATTAAAACACTGTCTTAACTCATTGAGCTTTAAATGTAATCATGAAGAGGCTCTTTAAGAAGCTCTATCATTGTACATTCCTCTTCTAGGTTAGGGTTAGTTAAAATAGTGGTGAATATAAATTTTTTCCTCCCTTCAAATAACTATGTTATAAAGGAAGCGTTCATCTTCAGTGTAGAGTACAGAGTTGCCCTCTAACCTAGTTTTTCTTCCCTGAGAGCTGATGTGCTAGAATGTAAAATAAGAAAAGAGTCTTGGTTTCTTTGCGTCAGCTGTGCTCTAGCCATAGGACAAATGCATCTCCTTGGAACCCTGGAATGTGATTTTTAATAACTTTTATTTTACTCTGTTGTAAATAGTGGAAGGGACCTTTGGACTATAAGAAGGCTCTCGCCTCTTTCTCTGGGTATCTGATTTCCAGGACTTAGACTGTTAGACTTGAATGAGTCAGTAACTGTGATTGTCATTGAAATGAATGTCACTGATTATGTCATTTTCATGACTCAAGATAAATTCCACTGTAATTGCCTTATGGTGCTAGGACACCGTGATGATTACCAACTGAATGTTGACAGGTAGGAATTAAGGGCCTGCAGTTGGCCTTGCCTGAGGAGTGAGTCACAAACAATACACGCAGAGGCTGTGGCCCAGACCTGCTGGTGTTCCCTGGTGCGTGTTGCTGGCCCGACTCAGCATCATCGTCAGTGGGGAAACACACTTGCCTCCTCCGGTCCTCCACCTTGCTCTGTTCTAGCAAGGATTTGGGGTCACGTGGCCTACTGTTAATTAAGCCCTTGGGCTAAATTTTTCTTTTGCCCTACATCTCTTGCCCCTCAGCACCCCCACTCCACTTCTCCTTCCTCCCAAACACACAAAGGAAAAAATGCTGTGGTTAAGCTTCTGATGTACCTGTTCAAGGAGAATTCAGCCTGACTAATATCTCCCACATTAGGAATTCTTTTGTGAGAACTGACTAACCGTGTTGATACCAGTACAACATTGTTATTATTAGTAGTTGTTTCTGTTTCTTTGCTCCTGTTGTGTCCAACTCTATGTGACCCCGTGGACTGTAACCCACCAGGCTCCTCTGTCCATAGGATTTCCCAGGCAAGAATACTGGAATGGGTTGCCATTTCATTCTCCAGGGGATCTTCCTGACCCAGGGATTGAACCCTGGTCTCCTGCCTGGCAGGTGGATTCTTTACCACTGAGCCACCTGGGAAGCCTGTGATTCCATTTATTTGAATCGACCAGGAGAGATGAATCCACAGACACAGAATACAGACAGAGGCTGGAGTGGGGGGGGTCAGGAGCGACTGCTTCACGGGTTCAAGTCTCCCTTGGTGGGAATGAAAATGTTCTGGAACCAAACAGAGGGGCAGCTGCACGCTGTGAATGAACTAAATACCACTGAATTAGACACTTGAAAATAGTGAATTTGGTGTTAGATGAATTTCACCTCAATTTTTTTTTTTCTTCTTGCCATGAGGCATGTGGGATTCTTTACCACTGAGCTATAATGACAAGTTAGTTTACCAACACTTTGGAGGACAGTTTGGCGATTTGTAGCAAAGTTGAAGACCTACTTATTACCCAATAACTCCTCAATTCCTGTGATATCAAACCTATCCGAACTCAGCATGTATGTGTTAGGAGACATGTTACGAGTGCGTGGAAATGTGGAGACGGCCCAGTTACTCCTGAGGAAGGAAGATTATGTAAGCTGCTTTATTTATACTATACAGCAATCAAAATGAATTAGCTGGATTTACATGAAGAAAACAAAATAGACAAATCTCAATGTTGAGAGAAAATAAATATACAGTATAATAATATAATAATATTCATTTAAAATTGAGTACCTTAAACAGATACTATATATTTATGTAGAAGTATGTTGATTAGTAATAAAATACTTACGGAAATGATGCATCAGCTAGAAGGAAGGTCAGATGGAGAGGTGGGCTTTAACTGTACCTATAATTTTTTCTTTAAAAAATAACTGAAGCGGATAGGCCAGTGGGTTTCTTTTCTTTGTTGAACTTGTATGTTTTGGTTAAATTTGTATTTTAAACATAAATGTTAAGAAAACCAATCAAATAAGTTATTACTATCAGTAATCATTCAGCTAGAGTCTGTAGTCTGATGAATGGAATTTCATGTGAATAGAAAACAGACACCTATCTCAGAGGTGTGACTGATGGATTCAAGCTCCAAAATTCATCTCTAGTCAGTATGTCCTGTGCCTGGAATTTAAACTTAAACCTGTGGAACAGAGG